GCTCACTTGCGCGTTTTCCGCTGCACCCACGCCAGCAGGGTCCTGATGGCCTTCCTCTGGTCTTTTACGGACAGCGCCACGCTCCTCTCGGCCGTGGGCGTGGGTGGGAACGAGGAGTCGGAGTCTGTGCCCCCGGAGCCCGGCGACAGGCTGGACGGTGGCGAGTTTCTGCTGAGGTTGCCCGTGAGCTCCTTAATCTGGAAGGAAAAGAACCATTTCAGACCCGGAGACAGACCCAGAGCCAACCCTCGTCTGACCCCAGGGACCCTGGGGGCCCCGAGTGGAGGGAGCAGCGCACACAGACGGGGAGGCCCCTTCCCGATGCCCTGTCAGGGCCGCGCCGCACGCGTGATGGCCTGCCCGTTGCACACGCCTGGCAGCACACGCAGTGACACATACCGGGGAGTCACCTCTCCCCGAGTCTCTCCAGCTGTGGCCCGACTCCGCACACAGGTAGTCCTGACCGCCTCCCCTGTCCTCTCCCATCGTGCCTCTGGCTCCCAGAAGGCAGCTCTCCCAGCCCGCTGCCTGTGCTCTTCCGGGGCCTGCTGCCGGGAGGTCCCTGTCCTGCATCACTGAACTCCTGGCCACTCAAAAGGTGGCTCCCATCACGGGGCACGGGGAGAAAGGCAGACTCCCAGGCCCTGCCCCAGCCCCAGACCTGCAGAGTCAGAATCCACAGTCCACACACACACACACACACCTGCGATTCATGTGCACAGGCAAGTCTGAGAAGCACTGGTCTGGCACACTCCTACCCACCCGTCAAAACCCAGCTCTGATGTCACTTCCCGTAGGCTGACGCTGCGGCTGGGAGTCTGCCTCACGGCCCTCTCCCCTCCGAGGTAACTGCCCCTGCTCGGTGCTCTCCCAGCTCTGCTCACACCCGCAGGGCGGCCTGCCCCGAGAGCTCTGTGCGATGCGGCGGACTCATCTGTGATCCCAGAGGTCATGGCCGAGGACTGGGCATGCCCAGAGCCTGGCACATAGCGGAAACTCAACAGGCAGGTACAACACATTTTCAGGATGTTCCCGGCAGCTCTCGGGGAGTAACTGAGCCTGTAGATAGCACGCCAGCTGCCCACACGCTTCCCTCACAGCAGCCCTGCACGCTCACCAAGCCTATGACCATGGCCCCCCCTTTCCCAGATGTGGAAACTGAGGCTCAGAGAGAGAGGCTTTGGTTTTGGATGTTCAAGGCTCACCTAGAACTTGATCTGTTACATCCAGACTTTGTCTGGGCTCGTCCCTCCCTGAAACAGAAGCATTGAGCCCAACCCCCAGCCAATCGCCACCATCTAGGTCACTTTCACTCGGGAGGGCGGCCAAGTGATGCGCCTCGCGGTCTATTTCAAACGAGGGGCGTGAGAAGGTGAAGCGGCAGCTCCCGCTCAGGGAGAGGACGTGAGCGTGACTTTCAATGCTGCCTTCGCAGCCCGGCCACGGTCCCGCCCTCCCTCCATTAAGCCTGCCTTTCCACGGAGAGGCTGCCGTTGCTACGGATGGAAGGTCTCCCCCACACGCGCCCCTTCCTCCAGCTGTCTCTCGGACGGGCCTTTACTCATCTCTGATGAGCACGGCTCACTCTGGGAGCGTAACTCTACCACGTTCAATCGTTGGAAGTATTTCCCCAGTTCTTGTGGCACTTTAGAACAAAGTTATTTTTTCGAGGTAAATATTTAATTCTTCCATTCCCAAGAGGATGGGTGGATGCTCCCGGGGAACAGAGCTCTCACCACTTTTAAAATCATGGGGACTCAAATCTTTAGCTCCCGAGTCCTCCGGTTCTTTTTCAGGGAACAGAAAAGTCAAAACCTGCCGGACACTGAATCCCACTGTCGCCTCAATCTGGCCCCACTCCATGCTGCTGGCCCTGAGCAGACGCAAGATTGCTACCGTGCGTTACAGAAAGGCAATGATCGTACCTGGAAGAAGAGAATTATGTTCCATATCAGCCCAAGAACCAAAGAGGGGTTGCCGTCCGCTATTTCTGCCGCGTCGATGCTAACCAGTTTTACCTGCAGGGAAGCAACGGATGAGCTTAGCAGGGTGGCCACGTACAAGGAAAACAGGTGGTTTTCTGATGCCCTTGTGGGCCTGTTTCTCCGTCACCTGCCCTGCTCAGCATTGCCAAGGCCACCTCTCAGGGCCCAGCATGCAGAAGTGTGCGGAGGAGTGTTTAATCATCACCTACATAGGACTTACCCCGCAGACACCAGGCTAAGGTCCTTAAAGTATCACCTCAGTTCGCCCCACACCAACCCCTCCACGTAGGTACTTCGATTAGCCCTGTATTTCAGGTGAGGGAATTCCAGAGAGGGCAGACGTGATGTGCCCAGGGTCGGCCATCTTTTCCAGGACAGGTGGTGAGAGCCCGGCAGGTCTGTGCATGCTGCACTATCACCCTCACACCTGCGACTGAACACAGCCGTGGACAAACACAGAGCAATGACACTGGCCATCGTGGGCCCCGATGGGAACGAGAATGACCCATGGGTGATCGGACACAGTGTGCCGGATAAGGCTGCTACCCGGAGTTTTGGCATCATTACCAAATAGCCTACTGATTGGATAAACTACCCGAGTGAGAAACCCTTAGGCCATCATCTACTGATTCAACTGCTGACCTCGCCCCACACCAACCCCTCCACGTAGGTACTTCGATTAGCCCTGTATTTTCAGGTGAGGGAATTCCAGAGAGGGCAGACGTAACGTGTCCAGGACAGGTGGTGAGAGCCCAGCAGGTCTGTGCATGCTGCACTATCACCCTCACACCTGCGACTGACCACAGCCGTGGACAAACACAGAGCAATGACACTAGCCATCGTGGGCCCCGATGGGAACGAGAATGATCCGAATGGGTGATCGGACACAGTGTGTCGGATAAGGCTGCTACCCGGAGTTTCGGCATCATTACCAAATAGCCTACTGATTGGCTAAACTGTGCCCGTCTGAGAAACCCTTAGGCCAGCCGTGGGCAAACTACGGCCGGCGGGCTGGCCGCCTGTCTGTCAGGTCCTCCCCTTGGTCCTTTACACCCTTTATCCACGTGAAAGCCACTCTTCAGGGGACAAAAGGGGGAAGGGAAGTCACACTCCATCCCATGCACCCCCTTAAAGCACGCGATTCGCTGGTTTTTTAACGTGTTCACAGGTAAGCATAGCATCATCACAGTCCATTTCTGAACATCGTCATCCCACTGACAAGAAACCCTGTCCTCTAGTTCCCTCTCCCCCAGCCCCCGTCCCCTCAACCCTAACTGACCACTAATCACTTCCCGACTCCAGGGACCTCCCTGTCCTGGACGTGTCATAGGAACAGGGTCGTAGAACACGACGTCCTCTGAGCCCGGCATCTTTTATAATGTTTTCCATGTCCATCCATGTGGCAGCCGGTACGGGTACGCGGTCCTTTTTCGTGGCTGAATAATATTCCACGGATGGGCACTTGGGCTGCCTCCACCTCTTGGCTCTTCTGAGTGACGCTGCTGTGAACTGTGTGAGCTTTTTGGCCGCCACCATCTGAAACGCCCCCTGTGCCTGGGCTTTCCCCACAGCCTGGGAGGCAGGGCACCTCCCCATTCAAGACCCAAAGTACTTTCCTCACAAAGCTCCCGTGGCCACCCCGGAAGCTGGGGTGTGGGCAGGGACTGATGCTCGGGAGCCGGCCTTGGACTCCGAATGTGTGACACTGAGTTCATTCCAGGGGCGGTGATGTCCTCTCAGCAGCGGCGGGGACAGTGCGGGGCGGCCATGCCCACTTGGATGGGGGGCGTGGGGAGCTTTGCAGTGGACGCCTGGCATCCCTGGGCTCCGTCTCTGGTCCCCCCAGCTTTGCAGTCACTCTGTGCGCTCCCCAGCATGCTTTTGATACATCCCTTTCCTGCTGAACTCAGCCAATCCGAGCTTCCGTTGCCGGCTGCCAGGGACGCCAAGTGAATGGCTTCCTGGCCAAGCCGCACGGCGGGCAAGCTGTGTGTTTCCCCCGGGCTGCCCACGGAGGCTTCCTGGGGCGCTCCATAACCTCATCCCTCTCGGCCACCCGCCCCCATGGAGGACACCAGGCAGCGTCAAAACAGAAAAAGCGAATGAAAGTCTAGAAAGTTCTATCCAAGAGGGGAGGATTTTGTAAGTTTTCCTGGCTCACTTCGCCTCTCCGTTCGCCCTGCACGTCGCCCTGATGAACCCGCCCCCATGGAGGACACCAGGCAGCGTCAAAACATAGAAAAAGCGAATGAAAGTCTAGAAAGTTCTATCCAGGAGGGGAGGATTTTGTAAGTTTTCCTTCGCCTCTCCGTTCGCCCTGCACGTCGCCCTGATGCGGGGTTCTAGGAGGCGGGGTTACACTGCGAGGCTCACCGCACTCTTAGTCAAAGGAGGAAAAATGTCAAGTGACCCTAAAGAACTGAGACCCCGTCAGCGTCCCGTCCTTCCCACATGGGGTGCCATGGGGCCGCCTCGCCAACAGACGGGTTAGCCGAGTTCCATTCACTTTGAACTTGGTCTGTAGGCCTTTCCCAGGCTCCCTCTCCACGCTTCTCCGTGACCAGCACTCAGCCATGCGGTCCTCGCAGCTGCAGGAAAGGGCCTGCTCGCCAGATGGGTCGCATACTTACGTTGCTATCTTCCAAAAACTTAAGTGCTTTCGCTATGTTGTTCAACCGAAAGATGCGGTGGGACGAGGATTTGTACTCGTGGAGCTGAAACAAACCAGACAGACCGCGTCAGACAGCGCATCCCGGCCCCGCGGAGCCCGCGGCCGCCGCTCTCCTTCCCCGGCTCACATTAATCTCGGGGAAGTCGGGGGGCCCAGCTGAACCCACCCTTTATTTATGGTTCCCGGGACTTCACAAGGCCGAGCCCGTGAGTGGGGGACCCAGGGGTTAAGCAGGGGACAGATGTGTCAGGCTCTTTCTCTCTGACCCAGCTCCTGGCCTTTGATCGGCCTCCCCCTCCAGAGCCCCCAGCGACGTGCTCTGCTCCCAATGATGGTTTCTGTCAGAGCAGGAGCCTCTGCAGCAGCTGCTAAATCATCCGCCAGGCCCCCCGGGGGCAGATGTTCCGGTTTGCTGGCCAAGAGCTTTGTGAACAGTGATCTCAGGTCAGAGAGAGACAGAGAGGAGGAGGGGTGGGGGTGGCGGGGAGACAGAGACAGGCAGAGAGGAGGGGAGAGAGAGAGAGAGAGAGAGAGAGAGAGAGAGAGAGAGAGAGGAGGGGGAGACACAGAGAGGGAAAGAGACAGACAGAAGGGGGAAGAGAGAGAGAAAGAGAGAAACAGAGAGACAGAGAGAGGGAGAGAAAGAGACAGAGAAGGGGGAAGAGAGACAGAGACAGAGAGAGAGGGAGGGAGAGAGACAGGCAGACAGAGAGGAGGGGAGAGAGACAGAGAGCGAGAGGGGGGAGGTGCCTGCAGAAGCCCCAGCCCCAGCGATGCCCGCTATACACTGGAGCAGCGTCAGGATGAACATCCTACACCGCATCCCCTCGTGCCCCTCCGGGGCCTGGGCGGGAAGAGCTGACGCCCCCACCCCTCCAGGAGGGTGTTTACAGGACAAGGCAAACCAGGGGCTGTTGGTCACCCCGGCTCGAAGGGCCAGGCCCACGCTCGTGGGTCGTGGCTGCACCTCTGTGTCCGCCACCAGGAGCCACACAGGGCAAATCCAACCCTGATGGGGTCATTCTGGCCAGGTCACTGCCCCCTCCACCACTCCGCGCCCCGCACAGGGGACATCTGGCGTGTTGAGGGGACGCGTTCGGTTGTCACACCTGGGGTACCACTGGCACCCAATCGAGTGGGTGGAGACCAAGGATGTTGAACAGCCTGCAGTGCACAGACGGCACCCCCCATGGGAACCCTCCCACCGAGTCCTCAGCAGCACCAGGCAGAGCCTTGGCCGTGAGGGGGACAGGGCCGGCCTGCGCACGCCAGACGCCCCACGTGAAGGGGGTGGGCTCAGATCAAAGTGAAACAGCCTCAAGACCAGCAGGTCCAATTCCATTCTGGTCATACGTATAAGAAGGTTCTAGAAGCTGGCAGTTCGTTTCAGCCGTGGGATGGATGATAGAATGTGGGTGTAATATACCTTCCCATCATCCTGATTATTTTTTATTTTTTTAAAATCTTTATTGTTGAATGTATTGCAGATGTCCCCCTTCCCCCCATTGACTGCTGCTAGCTCGCCCCCGCGCCCACCCCAGGCCTCCACCCCGCAATTGTCTGTGTCCATGGGCCATGCAGATGTGCACACAAGGTCTTTGGTTGATCACTTCACACCCACCCACCCTCCCCCGCCTTCCCTCTGAGATTCTGCACTCTGTTCCCTGTGTCCATGTCTGTGGATCTATTTTGTTCATCAGTTTATTTTGTTCATTAGGTTCCACATATGAGTGGGATCATGTGACACTTGTCTTTCTCTGATGGCTTATTTCGCTTAGCAGGATGCTCTCCAGGTCCCTCCATGCTGTTTGCAAGGGTAAGAGATCCTTCTTTTTCTATGGCCATCACCCTGATTCTTAGCTATCGTTCTGGTTAATACAATGGCTGGCCAGTTCTTATTCTTTGCCTTATCATATTCACAGAAAACACTGGGCATTTATTCATCTATTTACTAAAGTATATTTGCTAAAAATAAAAAGAGGGAGATGCTGCTTAGTTACGCGGGACTGTGTCAGTCCTATCACTGAGGAAGGAACGTCACCACAGTTTGGTGCCACAGGACGTGCGTAGGGCCGGGACGCACATGCGCAGGGTCTGTGCTAACAGGAGCCTTCAGCACCGCCTCCCTCGCCTTTTCTTTCTTTCTGACCCTTCCGCGCCGTACGTACCAGGTTTCGCCCAGACAGGACTTCTAACAGCGCCATTAGGATTCTGCCGTCTTGAATGTCAATGAATAAATCTTTCACTTCCAGAGGAGGGTCGCACTGCGCAAGGAGGGGAAGAGGTCGGGCGATTAGAGACCTGTAACTCCCGGAACTAGTCCCCGTGTGTGGCTGTCACTCAAGAGAGAACTCCCCAGCACCCACATCCGTGCACGGGCAGCCAGGCCCATCCACAGAGGCCCACCCTCCCCAGGGGATGGCCGAGTAGCGGGGGGCCTGGGGAGCTGCGGGGAGACGGTGTCAGGGGCCCCATCGAGCGAGTGACCCTTGGGGACCCTCCTAATATGATACCTCAGACCCCGGTCATATTACACCACGCTGCTCTTCAGGGTAGAAAGAACAGGCATGCCAGAGAGTTACAGCCTCCCACCGGATGAACTAATTCTAGAAGCAGGGCTCACATCAAACGCCCTGGGGCGAGCCCTTCGCCTCAGGTTTGGGGACCCCGAGGCTCCAAGAGGCTGGGCGACGTGCCCAGTGTTAGGACGAGTCAGCTCTTTGGTGCAGTCTTGTTCCATCAGGACACACTGGCTGACCACAGTGCCGCCCGACCCACCCGCAAGGGCATGACCCTGGGTCAGTGACCCTTTGGGCCTCGGTCCAGATGTCAGCAGGGCTCCTCCGTCCCCAGTGCTGCTCGGGCCAAGCATCACGCCTTCCTGAGGGGCCCGTGGTCCACGTCTGGAGGTGGGGCACCCCCGGCCGCGGAAGCCGGAAGGAGGCTGGTGTTGATGGACACACAGCTGGACACACAGCTGGCCCGCTGGATGCTGGTAGTTGGATGAAGGGAGAGAATCTTCCCTTCCATCCCCAAGTCTGCAGGTCTGCCAGGATCTCAGCGTTTGAGAGGCTGAATTAGATGAGCATTTATATGTTCAGGTATACAACGCAACACATGCTCATTATAGCAAATTAAACTAATTAAACTTGTTTTAAGAAGTTGGTCGGTGGGATGTGACTGCCTCTTGCCGCCACCACATCAGGCTCCCGAGATAAACTGTTCTCTCAGATGCACCTTGCGCCTGTCCCACGAAGAGGCAAGGGGGTTAGACACACCTGAGTTCAAATCCAGGTCTACCCTGACTGAACTTGGCCTTGGCATTTTCCTTCACCTCCCTGGGCCTGAGTACCCTTGGCTGCAAGGTCAGGACTGGAATCCGACCCACAACAGGGACGGGAGCTGCAATGGGGTGAGGTCGTGCAGGCAAAGGCCTGTCCTCCCCCACAGCACCTGTGCCCCAGACCAACACCACCCGTCAAACCAGTTTCCTATGGAGGGGCTACCTCCCTGCAGGTCTCGGGGTGCCCAGGCATGGATGCCTCAGGGCTGGGAGTCCTGCAGGGAAGTGTCCTTAGCCGGCGCCCCTCCGCAGGCAGCCACTCTTTGAGCATCGTCTCTATGCCCCACTTGCTTCTCTCTCTGGGTTCCTGGGGTCGGTAAATGGCACCCTGGGCCCTAGCTCATCAGGTTCTCCCGCTGCCTGAGGAAAAGGCTCCTCTCCACAGGGGATCTGGGGGGTGGAGGGGCCTGGCCGGGAGGAGGTAGATGCCTCACTCCCAGCCCGGCATTCTTCTCTGAGCCTAGACCTGGAGGGCCTGCTGTCTAGGTGGCTGTGCCCACCAAGGGTTTGGCTCGACGTGGCCGGGAGTCCACAGGGCCGCTCGGATGCTCCAGTGCAGGGATCTACAAACTGGGCTTCCCAGGCCCCTAGGCTTCAGCAGAACAGGGTGCCCTCCGGGGGCTGGGGGCAAGAAGGAGGCTGATCCATTGCACCCCCTCCAGCTCCTAGGGGCCTTTGTTCAGGGTCTCATGCAAGGCTTTGCTTAAAGAAAGGTTTCTGTGAACTACAGTGGGGCCTTGACTTAGAGTGTCCCGACTCACGAGTTTTTCGAGATATGAGCCATCTCTCGGCCGATTTTTTGCTTTGAGTTGCGAGCTAAAATTCGGGTTACGAGCCAGCTTCAGATACCCCACTGCTAGTTGGCACAGCGAACGTCACAGTGAACGCCACATCAGCCCAGCATCACGTGTCTCACTCGTTCACTTTTTAATTTGACATACGAGTAATTTGAGTTACGAGCTCTGTCAGGGAACGAATTACACTCGTATGTCAAGGCCCCACTGTAAAGCTTTAATGCCGCCTGGTGAAGAGCTACTGCAACAGAACCTCCGCGGGAGCCCACAGGGCCGCTGGAACTGGTCAGTCGGATGCTCCAGTGCAGGGATCTACAAACTGGGCTTCCCAGGCCCCTAGGCTTCAGCAGAACAGGGTGCCCTCTGGGGGCTGGGGGCCAAGAAGGAGGCTGATCCATTGCACCCCCTCCAGCTCCTAGGGGCCTTTGCTCAGGGTCTCATACAAGGCTTTGCTTAAAGAAAGGCTTCTGTGAACTAAAGCTTTAATGCTGCCTGGTTAAGAGCCACTGCAACAGAACCTCCAGGAACAGGGTCCATAAACCTGCATGCTAATGAGCCCCGCCCAGTGTTAACGAGCCCCGCCCAATGCTAATGAGCCCCACCCAATGCTACTGAGCCCCCACACAGCACAGATTCCCTTTACGTTTCAGTGCTGGGGCCTCTGCAACATTAAACAGTCAGGCTGGTGCTCTCTGCTCCCGGGGACAATGAAAGGGGGTGTCCACAGAGGTGGTGAGGACACGGTGTAAGTGGGGGTGGGCAGCTGTGACCCTGGAGACTCACGGTGGAGCTGGGGCCCAGGCACCCTTTCCTCCAGGAAGGCTCCTGCCCCGCCAGCCTTGGAGGCCTGTGGTGTCCAAACACAGGGCGATCCCACCCACAGGTGCACAGCAAAGGGCTTCGCTTCCAGGGCAACAGCGACTGCCTTTGAGCCACAGGCAGGTTCTTTTCTCTGCAAACTCCCGCAGCCCCTTGGGAGCGTTCCAGGCCGGGCACCCGGGCGTCGGGTATGGAGCCTCTCCCGGAAACACTTTCCCTGCTAATGGGAGGCAGCGATCGAGAGACCCGAACCAACACCCCCTGATGGACGGACAAACAACGTTTCGGCGAGCAGCCCCGACTGTGGCCGAGCCTCGTGTGCGAGTAGAACTGGGAGGATCTGGGAGCCTGGGCGGCGGCGGCAGCGCTCGGGCCTTGGCCGGGCCTTGGCCACAGTCCACCCTGCGCGAGGCAGGCGGAGGAATTGAAACGGCTCCAGGACAAACACTCTGGGCCCCGAACGTTCCGTGGGCTTCATGAGATCGGTATGGCCGAGCAAATAGCACCCCCAGGGCTTTCTTCATGATCTAACCCTTCGGTAAATGAAGGAATTTTTCCAGAAGCCAGAGCCTCGGTAAATATTTCTGACAGCCTTCAAATTGCAGGTAAGCCCAATTCCCCCAGGAGACCTGGGTTTCCTTCCCATGAAAGGCTGCTCTTGAACGTCTCGGGGTTGGAAACGGGGCTGTTAATTTTGCCCCGTTTATTAGGCATCAGTTCCAGGTGCTGCCTGATTTATCCTCAGAGTGGGCGCGGCCCACCTGCCCGGACGGAGCCGAGCCGGGCCAGGCCAGGGGGAGAAGCCCCCGCAGGATAAATGCTAACGGAGGGATTTGCTCTATTCCCCTCTGTACCTCCCTCTATTTATTTTTTAATTAAAAGAAAAAAAAAAAACAGAACAGAAGAAAGCCGCCACGGCCGCACTCCGTCCACTGGGAGGAACTGGCCACCCTCACACACATCGGGCGAATCGGGAGTTCAGTGAACTCAGGCCTGGGACGCGGGCTCCCTTTTTCCAGAAGCAACACTTCTCTTTACGAGCCCTGGGAAGTGCACCCACAGTCAAGTAACTGGCGAATGATTTTTACCGCTTCACCCACGATAGGGAGGCTCTCTCTGAAGAGTTCAGGAGCCTCCTGGGTCCAGGGTACCCCATCCCGCAGGTGGGGGACAGAGGTGTGGGTGGCCAAGTGCTGCCAGGGAAACATCCCAGGCCCCGAAAATCAACTCCGTGAATGAGAATTTCGGCCAAGAGCCCCACTCCCCACAAACCACATTCATTTTCTCTGCTGCCTAACCAGCCGCTCCCATGGTTCCCTCTCAGGCCCTCATTTGGGTTAAGCCTAGGACAGTCCGCAGTCACTCCTGTCCCTGCGAGGGGGCAGGAGAGAAGGGAGCAGGCTGCCTGCACTAGCCCACCGGACCTGCCAGGCTGAGGAGGGAAGGAGGCTGCGGCTGCCTGTCCGGAGGCCCAGACGGTGGGATGTCAGAAGAAAGAAGTGACGCGGGTGGGATGAGTCCTGGTGAGTCAGCTTTCTGATCAAGAGCAAAACAGCCCGGCCGGCGTGGCTCAGGGGTTGAGCATCGACCTATGAACCAAGAGGTGAGTCCTGGTTCGATTCTCCGTCAGGGCACAGGCCCGGATTGCGGGCTGGATCCCCAGTGGGGCCTGTGCAGGAGGCAGCCGATCGATGATTCTCTCTCATCGTTGATGTTTCTATCTCTCCCTCTCCCTTCCTCTCTGAAATCAATCAATCAATAAAAAGGTAGACCTTTCCTTCCCCAACTAGACTGACGGCCCCCGGAGGATAGAACACGCCTTACTCACCTCCCCGTTCCCGGCCCGGAGCGCGCCAGGGGGCCGTGAGAACACACATGGTGGAGGTTTAAATGAATGAATGACAACAACCACAGAAACCCATTGCCCCGCGTGCCCTCACCGGGCTCCCCAACTGTACTCGGTTATGGATGAGCCCTTCGTCACCCAAACCCAGGGGCCCGCTTACCTTCTCCAGATGGAGGTTTATCCACCGAGTGAAGGTCCTCTTCTGCACATTCTCCCTCTCCTCTGAGAACAGAGAAACGCGTCAGCCGGGCACAGAGAAACATGGACGAAGCCCCACCTGCTCCTCCCCAGGGGGTCGTGGGCGGATGGCAGGCAGCCCCGGAGGGTCCCATGGACAAGCTCAAGGGGCTTGGCAAGGGGTTGGGTGGCACCTCGCATCCACCATCCCCAGTGTGTCCCACAGATAAAGCACCCACAGACTGAGACGCACACAACAAAATGTTCTACACGCCCTCACGTGAGCATGTGGGCCCTTGACTCTGCAGCTTAGTAAGTGCTGGTGGTGGCTCGGCGGTTGAGCGTCAACCTATGAACCAGGAGGTCACGGTTCGATTCCAGTCAGGGTGCATGCCCGGGTTTCGGACTCCATCTCCAGTAGGGAGCGTGCAGGAGGCAGCCGACCCATGATTCTCTCTCATCACTGATGTTTCTATCTCTCTTTCCCTTCAATAAAAATGTATTTGTTAAAAAAGAAGCACTGGTGGTAAGATACAAATTAGCCACAGGTGACGGCACTGCCACCCGCCTGGCCGAAGCCATGGGGCTGAGGAGTGGGGACCCAGGAGAGACAGGGCAGTGGAGGCCAGCAATTAGGGGTTGGGGTGCGGGCTCTGGGGTGTGGCAGCGTGGGGTGGAGAGAACGGACAGGCCTGGGTTTGGACTCTCACTCGGCCCTGTCATCTCCCGCAGGGTGCTCTTGGCCAGCCGCCTGTCCCCACGTGGGACCTGCTCACTCCCAGGCCGCCCCCAGGGACCTGCGATCCCCCAAGTCAACTCAGCACAGCACCTGGAACAACGGCTGTTCATTTACTTTATTTCACATTTTGTTGCTATTCTTTCTAGAGCCAAGAAACATGTGACCTCCTCCCAGGAGGAGGGTCCCGCAGGAGCCACAGAGGCCGGAGGGGCCAGAAACCAGACGGTGCCTCCTCCGCCGACAGCGCCCCACACAGGCTCCTAGGGAAAGAGCTTCCCTTTCCAGGGGTCCCTGCCATCAACTCTGTTTCCGTTCATCTTTACACCTGACAGCGCTGCCTGCGAGCAGAGACTTATCTTACAGATGAACGAAATGGGGCCCAGCCAGGCACCAGGACTGCCCAGGGCACCTGCCGGAGAGGCAGGACTGGGCATCACCCTCAGGTCAGTCTGCCCCCCATGGGCACTCAGAAAGGGGAGGTCTGGGTTCAAATCCAGGACTTTCAATTACGGCAAAAACATCGGCAATAACAGTAACAGAGATTGGAAAACGTTTACCAAGCGCTCGCTGTGGCAGGTGCCCATCTAGGCCCTTCAGCCTCGTTCACTGTTCTAACCCTCCTACCACCCGTGGAGGCGGATGGGAAACCTGGGGCACCTGCCAAGGTCACGCGGTCACTAAGGTCACCACTCCTAGTTTGCAGATGAAGAAATGGAGGGTCAAGTAACGAATGAGCAGCGACGCTGGGACTCGGAGCTGGTGCTGCCCTCCTCCCCCTCCTCCCTAGCCCTGTGGCGGTCCTGGCCTGGCGCCCCTGGACCCGAAGGTTGTTTGGAGATGTGGCAGCCGGGTCCCAGGGCTGGGCCCGCCGGCAGCCCCGCCAGCTCAAGCCGCTACGCCTCTCAGGAAGCTGCCTCTCTAGTCACCGAGTTCTGGGTTTCAACAGCCAGGGACACATCACACATACTTCAGACCATTTCACGTTTCTTTAGAAAACATTTCATAAGCAAATGAGAGGCCATTTATCTCCTGCGGGAGAAAGAAGGCTACAGTTTTCTCTAATGACTGTGGGTCTTTTTTTCCTCTCGGCCTCATTACTGGGTAGATAGTGGTGCCCATAAATCAAATTTTAATATTGTGCCCTTCAATCTTTTTAATTGAAGGGCCAGCAGACAGTAATTATGCTTTATGAGACGGATTTTTCTCTCTTTTTCCTCCTTTTCTATAAGGGAAGGTCGCTGGCAAGTAGGCCTAAGGGTTAAGTGTCTAATTCTTGTAACTGGTGCGAGGAAGAGGAGGGAGAAAGGGAGTTGAGAGAACTGAGGTAGGGAGGGGGGCCTCTGCTGAGGGCATGAGCTTCAGAGTCTCGGAGCTTTCCAGAAGGTCCGAGACACCTCCCCAAGCCCCACTGGAGACCTTGGTGCCTCTGCAGCTTTTTGCACAGGTGGGTGTCCATCTCTCTGTTGATGGGCACTTAGCTACTTCCCGTTTTCGCCGTTACGAGCGCCCTTGTACAAGCGCCCGGCATGTGGCTCTTCGTGCACAAGCGCATGCATACATGTCTCCTGCTTGACAACTAGAAGTCAAACTGCTGGGTCTCAGTGGTAGGCACATTTAAAATTTTAATAGCTACTTCCAAATTGCCCTCCCAAAAGGCTGCCCCAGTTTATACTTTCGCCCCCAACTGTCTTTAAACAAGTTTATGGGGATTGTAAAGTATTTATACACACGTTCTAGCACTCAGGCTGGTTCCTCCATATGGCGTCAGAGAGAGCAAAGTATCAAACAGAAGTACATTCAGTGGAAGCCCGAGAGAACCTGGGTTAGGCTGCTGGTTTAACTGTGCAGAAAGGTGAAAATGAGGAAGTGGGTGTCTGTTAGTCTATATATGCCTCATCCATCCATCCATCTTTCCACCCAACCATGTATCCATCCTTCCATCTTTCTATCCACCCACCCATCTTTCCTTCCAACCTTGTATCATCCATCCATCCATCCATCCATCCATCCATCCATCCATCCATCCATCCATCCATCCATCCATCCATCCATCCATCCATCCATCCATCCATCCATCCATCCATCCATCCATCCATCCATCCATCCATCCATCCATCCATCCATCTTTCCATCCATCCATCCATCCATCCATCCATCCATCCCACCATGTATCCATCCACCCATCCACGCTTCCTCCCAGCTGATACTTATTCAATGATTATTACATGCCAGGAACTATGCCAGACCCTAAGGGCAAAATCAGATAAAGAATTAAGCATTCACAGAATCAGCACTCCAAGAATTCACAGCCAAGTAGGAGAGAAAACACAGACACCACGGAGCACCCATGTAAGGAGAAATGAATTAGAAGTTTCCAGGTGAGGACATGGTTTCAGACCCCCGGGGGTGCTCCTCCAGGAACTCAGAGGACCCCACGGTGCAAGTGGGACACGGAGGGGCTCCTGAAGACCAGGACATGTTTCTCACTCTGCCCTGACCAGGGCCAAACTCTGGGAGGCTTTCCTTCCATTCCAGCCATGGCCAGTGGGCTAATCTGAGCACATACAGTTCAGCGTGGACAGCAAAGCTGACCCACAGGAGCGCAAGGTGGTGACTGAAGTTATGAGGGAACCATAAGACTAAACCACAGCCTGGCCGGTGTAGCTCAGCGGTTGAGCATTGACCCAGGAACCAAAAGGCCACCAGTTCGATTCCTGGTCAGGGCACATGCCTGGGTCACGGGCTCCATCCCCTGCGGGGGGTGTGCAGTACGCAGCCTATCAATGATGTTTCTTTCTCATCGATTTTTCTATCTCTCTATCCCCCTCCCTCTCTCTCTAAAAAATCAAAACATTAAAAAAAAAAAAAGACTAAACCACAAATAACAGACGAGTCCCAAACTGAAACTGGGTGCACAGACCATATTTTCTGGACCTGAAACTGGGACACGTCACTCAATACACAGCAGAGAGCGCGTGTGAATTTGGGATCACGTGAGAGCCACACGCCATTAGCTGGGCGACCTGGGCAAGTTCACAGCTTTCACAAACCTTTGCCTCAGTCCTCCCTCTGCAGAAGGAAGGTGACTGTGCCGCTCACCCAGACTTCGATCGGATCACCTCCACTCGCCCCGGCCCCCCACCCCCTCCACGGGCACGCCCAGCCTCAGGCCGCGGTGCCTGGCGTCCCACACCAGGTCTGCCGCTCTTCAGGGCTCCCTCCACCTCGAAGCCCCCACCCCCCGCTGCAGGCCTCCGCTACTTCTGGCCCGCCAAGGCTCCGTAAACTTTATATAGTTTCCATAAAGCCAACGGCCCCTTTTTTCCACCGCACCTATCACGTTGTAAAGGTGTAGGAAACCATTGCCCGGGAAGGGTCTGGCCTTCTCACACGGCGTTTGTGGGGCCCTTTGTGGGTTTCCTGGGCAGCGAGAGTAGTAACAGTGCTGTAAAATGGCCAGCCCCGGCTCTGCCTGGCCGGCCAGGGTGCCCAGTGGCGGCCAGGGTGGGCGAGGAGGTCACCAGGCCCAGGACTCCGGGACAGAGATGGAAAGGGAGGCCCAGCCTTCCGGCTCACCCACCATCGCTATCCCCAGGCGTGAGTGGGTCCCTGCTTTGCCAAACGCAGACAGTGTGGAAATGAGAAGGCGGGCCTGTCTCCCCTGTGCAAGCTGTCGGTGGCAGGCTCAGGAGGTGGGAGCCACGGAGGGAGGGACACAGCTGAGCGCAAACACTGTCATTTACACAGCAGGCGTGGCCCTCTCCCTCTGCCCACGGTCCCCTCGCACCACATCCTATGTCATGTTTCCTCTGTAAAATGTCTGCTCTTCCCGCCCACGAGGAAGGCTTGGTGGCTGTATCTGTTTATAAAAACTGTATACTGATTACAAACAATTAAAACCATTAGGAAAACATATAGAAATATATCTAAAATATCTTGAACTCTCAGCATACACAGAGGTCACCACTATTGACGTTTTATTGCCTATCCTTCCGGAAGCATGCGAGTACACACACACACACACATACACACACACACACACACACACACACACACGGAGCTAAGGCTGGAGAGAGATAGCAATTGCCATCTTTCCATCTATCCATCCATCCACCCACCCACCCAACCATGTATCCATTTCAATGTGATCAGTGAACTACGCAGCGTTTCTCGAAGCAGGACCCACAGATCACAGCATCAACGGCTGACAGGCTAATCCCTGGACCCCCCCATGACCTACTGACTCACTCCAGCTGGGGGTGACGACGGCGCATAGTGTAGGAAGCTGGATATTAGCTGGGAAGACAAGTGCCACACACACACACACGGAGCTAAGGCTGGAGAGAGATATTACTGCGCACCATTTCAATGTGATCAGTGAACGACGCAGCGTTTCTCGAAGCAGGACCCACAGATCACAGCATCAGCGGCTGACAGGCTAATCCCTGGACCCCCCCATGACCTACTGACTCACTCCAGCTGGGGGTGACGACGGCGCATAGTGTAGGAAGCTGGATATTAGCTGGGAAGACAAGTGCCACGGCTCCGTGGTCCCCTTGGGCAGAGTAGGGAAGGCCGTGGCACATCACCTGGCCCAGGAGAGGCGGCAGGCAGCACGGGGCCCACCGCGGACACGGGGCCGGGAGGACTGCCACCCCCACTGGCTCCGGTTCTGTGCGCATCGCTCAGGCAGGAGTGTTGCTTCCTTTCCTTCTGTGGCCCAAGCACTTGCAGGCAGCAGCTGCCGTCACTGAACGCAGTCGGGAGTCTCCGATCCTGAGAGATGAGTCGGGATTCCCCTGCGAGGACTGAGTTCCCAAAGGGAGCCGTCCCTGTGACATCGTCCAGGTGGGTCCGTGGGGGCATCTGCTTCCAGCTCCAGGGCGCTGCCAGGGCAGGAGGAGGGAGGATCGAGGCCCCACCGCTCTGTGCTCACTCCTCCAAGCCAGAGTCCAGGAGGCGGAGGGTATCGGCTGGGCAGACCCTCGGTGCCCACGGACCCCGACCGACACCGGGACGAAGGCTCTGGGCAAGCTGCAGGAAGCCACTCCCCTCCCCAGGGAAGCTGAGGAGCAGGAGGAGACCTGGGAGTTAGGGAGCCCACCCCGTGCAGCCGCTGGGAAGGCCTGAAAGCAGCAGTGGGGGGCTGACAGCAGCGGCCACACTTCCTGTGCCCAAGCACCAAAGGAGTCACGCTGCTGTCCACTGACATCCCCGAAGCTGGTCTAGAGCTGTCCCCATTCCACAGAGGAGGAGGCTGAGGCACAGACCTTCAGTAACGTGCCTCTCCCTGGAAGATCAGGACTTGAACCCAGGCTCCAGGGTGACGCTGCCTCATGTGCCTCCCACGTTTGCAGGGTCCTCCGGGTGCCCTCAGCCGGGCTGCTAGCCTCAGTGCCCCAACACTGTGCAGGTCGGCCAGGGGAGTTCAACCAGGGGGACTCTGCCCCCAGGGCACACTGGCAGGGGCTGGAGACACTTCTGATGATCACAACTGAGGGACATTCCACTGGCATCTAGCGGGTAGAGGCCCAGGACGCTGCTCAACACCCTACAGTGCCCAGGACAGTGGGAATCATTATAGGGACTCAGTGGTTTTGAGGATCAAATGCATCCCAGCTGCCTTACCCACCACACGCGGGTGGGTGGCAGAGAGTCCACCAGCCGGACTGCCCCCAGCCCATACATGGGCACTCACAGCCCACGGACAGTACCCAGGGCAGCCAGCCGGGCGGCCCCGGCCTGTCCCCTCCAGCCGCGGTGCCACTCGACTCCCGGGATCCAGGGCGGCTCGGAGAAGAGGCCACCCCGTCTGGACACGGCCAGGCCCCCCCGGCCAGGCCCTGCCCGGTGGTTTCGCTCTTTCCCGTCTTTCAACACCTCCCAGAAACACAGCCTCATTACATGGCCCCATGCTGGTTCACTTGAGAAATAAAACTCAGAAACAAATTAAATGGCAATTGCTTTTCAAACAGGAGAGGGGCCAGGCTGCAGGAATCCCGGGCCGGCGTCCTTTGGTTCCGACTCCTGGGGACCACTCCCCCGTCGGCTCTGGCGGCATTAAAGCCGGGGCTCCATGTGGTCTGCACCAGCCGTGATTTTGGCATTTAATTTCCTTTGTTTTTCCTCCTCGAATGTTTGCTCTGACCCAAGTCGCTTTTATCGAGACTTTGGTCATAAAATGTAAAACTCTCCTTGGGACCGCAGACGGAGCAGCAGGCGACTCCTGCACACCAGCGTGCAGTCCTGGCGGCCGAGCAGGCAGCGCCCCCCTCTACGGCTCCTCCGCACCTTCGCGCCTTTGTCCCTCGTACGGGCCCGGGATGCGCGGACCCTGGGCCTCGGGACAAAGACAGAGCAGCCGGCTCGAGCCCGCATAGACCGGTGGTCTCCCACTCCTCGCCCCCACGGAGACAAATAAAACTGCCAAACGCATTCTAACGGGGGACTTAAACCCAATTCTCTCACGGGTCCCAGAGGCCACCAATTAACAAGCCCCGTTCCGCGGCTCTGCCTGCCTCTCAGCTGCTCCAAAACACATAACCCAGGGCTCCAAAGGGTGAGTCCCAATTACACACCAAATTAAGTTTTAAGCTCCATAGACATATGTAGGGCTGGTGCCTGCAACTAAAATAAAAAACCTGCTCTAGTTTTTTCCTGAGCGCGACTCTACCCTCAGTGCTAAACCTCAGCCCACCTTGATTCATGACAGATGACGCCAGCCAGCCATAAAACCCCAGCTTAGGGAAAGGGCCTTTACATCCACCCAGATGGGGAGCCCGGGCACCGCCAGCCCCGCAGGCAGCCCTGAGGTGAGCAGCCGGTCGAGACGGGGCTGCGGTGGTGTTGTCCGGGCGCCCACACCCACCCAGGCCGCAGACCGTGAGGACGCTCAACCCCAGAGAACACTTAGCCCCAGGCTCCAGAAGAGGGAAAGGGAGAGAGGGAAGGGAAGGAGGGGACAGAGAAAAACTCTCTCTTCACACATCAGGAAGTCTCGCCTCATGTGCCCCCCGACATCCCGATCCCTAGGGCACCCAACTTCCTGGCGGGGACCGCACATTTTGGTGATTTTTTTTTATACCAGTGTTTTCTTGGAAATGTTCTGGTTTCTCAATATAAACTTGAGCAACTTCTAAAGCAGTGTTTTCCCAACCACGTTCTGCGAGTACTAGCGCTAAAGCCCTCTAAGGGGAGCCATTGTGTCTGGAAATATTGCCCATTTCCCTGCCGTGGGTACTTATGGCGGGAGAGCCAAGGCTCTGACAGTAAAGACATTGGTTTCACTTGTCCAAACTAAGCTCGCGTGAAGACAGACCCCTTTCCTGGGTCCAACTAATCACCACTTCCTTGCAAGCACCTGCTTTGGAGATGTCGAGGGGTGCTCATTAGCGGGGGGAGATGTTTCCCTGGGGTCTGCACAGCTACCGAGTTAGGCAGTCACACTTCCTGTGACAGAGACCACCACATGTGCGCCAAACCTGGTTTCCTCTTCCTCCTGGGCACTCAGCCAAACGACACTTCCCAGCCTCCCTTGAGGTGGCTGGGCCGATGCAGTGTGGACAGGTGGGTGCGAGCCATGCCACCTTCAGACAGGCCAGCGACCCTCCGTACCTTGCTCCACTGCACAGAGGCAACGCAAAGGACAGAGAAGACAGAGCCACCGGAGGAAGGAGGCCAGGCTCCCGGGACCCCCTTGGACAAGGATTGCCCAGTAGAGATGCCCCACGAGGAATGCCATCATTGGGCCGCTGGGTGAATGAGAAATCCTCTTTGCCGTCATTTTGGGTTGTTGCTGTAGCAGTTGCCCACCCTGGCGAATAACACTGCCGGGGGTGAGAACCGGGCGCCCCTGCGAGGAAGGAAGGGAGGAAGGCAACGTTTCTCAAGCCCCTTCCAAGCAGGGAGGCTCCCGTGACGTCCGCTGTGAATCCTCGCGGCAACCTCGACAGGCAAGAATGACGGGGAACGTCTCAGAGAGGAAGGCACTGGCCCCAGCATTCGGTGGAAAAACTCAACCCAGCATAGTCACTGTGAGCCGAGCCCCTCTCCCTGGCACCACGATGGGAAGGCCGAGCCCCTGCAAAGCAAATCTTACTGAAGAACCTTCCTGAAGAGGGTTTCTCAAGCCCCTTCCAAGCAGGGAGGCTCCCGTGAACCTCGACAGGCAAGAATGACGGGGGAACGTCTCAGAGAGGAAGGCACTGGCCCCAGCATTCGGTGGAAAAACTCAACCCAGCATAGTCACTGTGAGCCGAGCCCCTCTCCCCCGCACCACGAAGGGAAGGCCGAGCCCCTGCAAAGCCAGTCTTACTGAAGAACCTTCCTGGAGAGTGGCACGTGCAGGATGGCTCACCTGCAGAGCGAAGCTGACCTGGGGCTGCCCTGAGGCACAGAGCTTAACAAGCCTGGTAAGAAGCATTGGCCCATGCCCGGCACGGTCCACCGGGCTGCCCGGCCCGCGGGGCTCAGTGGTTGAGCACCGACCTTCGAACCAGGAGGTCACGGTTTGATTCCCAGTCAGGGCACATGCCTGGGTTGCGGGCTCGGTCCCCAGTGGGGGGCATGCAGGAGGCAGCTGAT